TATCTCTTGTGCAACTTGGAGCCAGGGAGAGCATTACATGATGAGCTGCTGACTGTGAATAGTGAAAAGAGATTTCTCTGAAGTCGACTCCACTCACTCATTTCCATGAAGAGCTGTCTCTTCTCCACCATGGCCTTGCCTCGTTTGCTGCCTTCCTCGATCATCCTGTGGCACATCAAACAGCAGCGCGTGAAATGTTTAATGTTAATAATACGGCTCTCTTTATCGTCCAGAAACCAAGTGAAGATTATTAATAATAGATATCATTAGAAAATATTTTATACAACTCTATCATTTCGTATGAAGACTGAATATAAATGAGGACCTAAATATCATAATCTTCTTTTGAATATAGACGATATGGTCTTTCTGTGACCAGTATTGAGCGTTTTCTGCGCTCAGCTCTTGAACACTAGTGTACCAGCAGGACACAATGTTTCATCTTTATTATTGACCCTGTACATGAAGGACTGTATTAGTCATCACTGCGGTTAAACACTTCACTGTAAAAAAAATATGCCTTGGGTTCTGCTTTTAATAGAATTATAGGGATGAAATTAAAATATTTTTTAGGGCTACACGAATGATGTCAAAGACTCTGACTCTAATAATACAACTGAACTTTCAAATTGTTTCACTTTGAGTTGAAGAATATTGAGTTGAAGATACTGTAAATTAGAGATACATTATATATATTTGTATTTAAAATGTCACTAACTCTAGCTATCTTGGCTCAGTTATACAGCAGTTTGAGGGGTGCTCAGTCAGTGGCAACTAAAACTATTTACTGTGACTTTTTTATAAAGCAAATTATCAACATTTTAGCAAAAAACGAATTTGCCTTATCGCCAGGAGTGAGAAGAAAATATTCATGCCACTCTTATATCTGTATGCTAAATATGAAACCACAGACAGCAGCTGACTAGATTAGCTTAGCTTCAAGTCTTTAAATGGGGGAAAGTAGCTAGCATGGCTCAGCTGAATATCACATGATATACTAAAGCAAAACAAGAAAACTGTCAATATGTGGTTTTAGGAGGTTAAGGGCTTTGTTATTGCAACTTTTTTTTTTTTAAGTTCACACAATTCATTTAAAGTGTGTCGACAATCTGGGTTCAGCCATAAAAACAGCTGCTCAAATATAATATACAAGATGTTTATAATGCCACTGTGTAGTAATGAATCTTTTCCACAAGGCAGAATATCTCTTCAGGAGAAAGAACAGAAACACCCTCATCTCTTTTATACAGTAAACTTCTATGGAACAATTCAGACTTTTGTTCTGACACCTGATTCAACTTCAGGGTTGACTCAGAGGGTTCATTGTCTGGTTCTGTTTCAACATAGCTCTCATACTTGTTGAAGGCACATTCCCTTTGAAACCAAACAGGTGTCCTTATTTTATTCAATAATATATTCATTCTACGATTCTTCAATAAGTGTCATCACAGTGTTTAATGTTGCAGTCGTTTCTCAAGGTGAGGTTTTTCTTGAACAGAAAGTATTATAACCTTCAGTTCTTATAATATGATGACATTTATTAGTAGTATTAATATATATATATAGATTTGTGCATAGATTTGTGTTATAAGAAATTGGTAAACACTATTTTTTTTAAACTTCAAAGGACAGATGTACTATGTCTTTGACCTCATAAGATATAACTTAGGATCTCAATATTTACCTGTCGCTGGCTGAGTGTCAAACAGAGAGAAGCCCTTAACGTCGGCCCTGTGAAGAGAATTGGAAACAGTTAGTGAGGGAGTCTCTATGACTTGATCATCACGAAAGCTGAGCAATTATTCGCTGACAAAATGTAGTTGACTTCTGAATAACTCATTAACACATCCCCTCTCTCCCTCCTTCAAGGACTTCATTAACTCTCCATGTGTGCTTTTGTTTCCCCTCCCTCTCTTCCTGTAGAGATGTTGGTGAGCTGGCTGGGGAACACTCCAGCGCCCGTGGTCCGTGGCAAATGATGATTCTCCGTGACATCCCGCTCACAGTGACTGCATCCTGTGGGCTAATGACACCGAGCAAGAGCTGCAGAGGAAGCACCTAAAGAAGACCTCGGACACACAGCACATTACGGCCGACCGATGAGGGAGAAGCCTCGGATCGAGAGCCCCCAACATGCCCCGGTGCATGTACACAAGGGGTGTGTTCACTGACCAGGGGGCGTTCACAAACCAGCAGAGCGAGAAGGGAAGGTTCTGCGGCCCTGAGGAAGTCTACAGGCAGGATTTCTCTATTTATCTTTTTTAATTGCATTTTTTAGAGACACTCGTCTCCACGGTGATCCCTGCTGTATGACAGATCCTCTCTCCAGTCACTGGCTCGTGTTGCCTGGTTCTCATCAGGGTTTACAGGCATCAGAAAGATCATGTAAAAACACCTCGTCCACTGAAATGCAGTCACAAATTACTCTATTTATATTTAAAAACATTAGATATTATAATCAGGCTTACAACTAATGATTATCTATTGATTAAGTCAACGAAATGTCAAAAAACTGCTAATCCATCACTAGTCCAACAACTAGACGATAACTCCATGTACGCAGGTTCGACTCCGGCCTGCAGGAGTATTTTGGCAATGTCATCCCCCCTGTCCCCCCCCCTTTCTACACTGCATATAACAAAGGCAGTCTCTGGCCAAAAATATATAATCCTATTGGTCATTAAGACAAAATGACAGACGTGCTAGTTGTAGCTTCACACTTGTGAGAAATGTGTTTTCGTAAGGACAATGTCATTAATGTTATTTGGTTTTGACCAAGACATTTGAGGACATCCCCTTGGGTTCTAGGGAGTTCATTTTTCACTATTTTCTGACAGTTGAAAGGACAAAACAATTCACTGAAAATAGCCTTTAGTTACATTCATACCCATCCATCACCATCCCTCACCAGAGCCCAAGGTGACATCTTTAAGTGTCTTCTTTTTCTTGAGAACAATCCAAAACGTATTGACTTGACGATGATGCAAGAAAGAGAAAAAGAGAAAATCCTTACTTTTGAGAAACTGAAATTATAATTTGTCGTTGTGCATCTAATCAATTACTTGCTTCATGGCTGCAATCTAAGAAAGACAACGCAATAAAGAGCTATATGCTAAAAGAAGAAGCATTTTCACTGCTTTGAAACAATATTATGGCTATTTTTAGCTCAGTGCAAATCCTGTCAAAAACTCAGTCTGGATTAAAGGTTTTTGAAGGCCATTAAAAACACTTGCTCAGCCTAATTACAGATTAAATGGCGTCCTACAGTACATGGGGCAGCACACACTGTAATTCAGGTTTAATGTGTCAGAGGAGCACTGCTGTACTCTGGGGGCAAAGGGAAGACACATTAGCTATGCAGTGGGAGACCCAACAGACACATGTCAGCAAAACAGCACAATGGCTCATTGTAAATATTCAGCCTGTGAAGTAACTGCAGAAATCCATGAGTACTACATTGGCAGGAAATGTTTGGAAAAAAATGTAAAGCAGTGCATGGCAGCAAATAAAAGAGCTTCAATGCAGGAGCTGATCATTTCAGGTTATGAGGAAGCAGAGACAAGTTCTTAATAATTCATGGACAAATGAATTCACAGAGCAGCAGCGTGATAAAGCTCTGCATTCAGGGGATTTTCAGTCCTCTTATTTGCACACATTTTAATATTTAGTTCACAAAAATGTTGATGTCAGCCCTTTTTTAAACAGTAAAACAGTGTGGTTATCATTATAATCCCGTAAAGGTGCATTTACTGTAACCGCACCTTCAGTTGCGAGCTAATGACAACATCCTTTGACGCGAGTCAACAGAAGGACTGGGCTACTGCAGTACCTCCCTTCCGCTGATATTATCCACTTCTACAAGCCTCATTCATTCCTCACGGTGAGCATCCCTGCAAGACTTAAAATTCACTTTCAAAGCGAAGGAGGGACACAAACGCAGCCATATCGGTGATTTAACTGCCTATTTACCTTATTTCTGCAATGGGAACGGTGTGTCGTGATGCTCATAAAAAATGTTGGCATAACAAACAATGGCAATCCTGCATCTATTTCTCACGACTGTCTCGCCAGATTCATAAGAGGCAAAGCTGGCCTTTACCCGAGGAAAATCACGCAGGATGCGTTTAGAGCATCATCATCACCATCGGCATCAGATGTGGATGATAAGTAGTCCAGGGTGAATAAGGAGGATATTTCCTCCGTGATCCAGTCGCACATCTCACCTTTGATGAATCCACGCGTGTGTCCGCCGACCTTACAGCTGTCCGGGCGATGCGACGCGGCTCCGGTGACCCAGCTTCATATTTCTCCCTCCTCCTCTCTCTCATCCGGCTTCAATCTTGCGAACTGCGGTTGTATCCGCGCAAAGAAACGAAGAGGCGCCGCGCTCCGCTCGGCTTCACCAGCAGAGACCAGCGGCAGAGGACGGCAGAGCAGCAGGAGGGCGCGAGCTGCCATGCGCGGACTCTACTACACTTACGCATGTGCGCACGCACGCTGGTTAAAGGCGCACGCACTACTAACATTGTTGCTTTGACTCAGAGTTATGATGCTCAGCATTATAGAGGAGATGAAAAACGAAACTGATACAATCAAATTTTAAGGGAGACTCCAGTGTTTCAATACGTTCTTAAAGTTGGTGGATTCAAAAGAACATATTTCAAAAAACATTTTACAAAATCAAAGCAGAGACAGAGATTCTGACTTGTTGTCTGACTTGACACTAAATCTTACATTTTTTCCCATAATACAATTTAAGATCAGTTTGGATGATTGTTGACAGACCTTGGTAGTTGATAGGTTATCCCCCAATGTTTCTATTTATATTGCCATGGTTGTGCCTTTGAAACAGATATTTAATAATGCAGTTGAAACAGAAATGTATAGCTGATTAAGAAACATTTCCTATTGTGAAACAATGAACTCCCAGAACCACGGTGCCAACAATGTTTTCATAGAGTTCATCGTGGGAGACAAGCAACAGAAAACTCAAGACAAAATACTTTTCATTATTTATTCATATAGTCTATAACTTCTGGTAAAATACACTTTGTTTACAAGTGCTGATTACTATATTACATTCACCCGGAGTTTAAATGGAGACAAACTGACACAGACATATTAAACAAATTCACCTAGTGATAAACGTGACGTTTCAAAAATGGTGGTGATTGCCCATGACACATAACAGGCGTTTCTTTATGAACTGCTCGTCTGAAAACACGCGACGGGTAACTTCAGTGAGGGAGGGGGCCGCTGCCTGACTCGAGTTTCAGTCCTCATTAACAAAGATTTCAGCTGCCTTTCGGGGTGATTGATTGTTTTTGTTAATTATTTTTGCAGTGCAATCCAGCCCCCCAAATACAAAACATCACATTCAACCAAATAAGGCCTAAATATGTATGGGGGATAAATACAATTTGTGTTAACAGAATCAAACACTGGTACCATTTATAGTGAAATGCTAAATATGTGGAAACCTTGTCTGATTCTAGCCCTACAGTTTTAAAAACAATTTTACCCCCAATTTAATAACAGATACATACAAAAAATGGACTTGAATTCATCCACTGACCTAAAAATGGTGATTTTAAAAACATTCTATTTTTGTTTTCATGATAAAATGACACAAATGTAGACAGCTAAAAGGGTACACACACATATGACAACATCTCTATGGAAAAATATAGACCAATAACAGATCCGATGCAAAAAGCGGGGCCATACAGAGTACTGATACTTGGTTATTCTCTGCATGGTGGTCTGTCACAAACAATATAAGAAACACGGACAGCCAATATATTATTATTATAGTAAATACCCTGTTGATTCAAAAACAATTAGCAAATAGATTTTTGTTAATATAAAATATATTCATTAAAATATATTACTTTATGATTACTATATTACTTTCTTTAAAAAGGTGACTTTGGCATATTACCTTAGAAATAATTGCTATTAAAAACAGGCCTACTTTGCACCTCCAGGACATTTCTAAACAAAGTTGATGCGTCTTACTTTGCAATTATCATGAGCAGCCGAAAAACAGTTTTAATACTTAACACCGGCCTTTTTCCAGTTAAATATGTAGTAAAGTGAGCGCTTAAGTAGTAATGCGGCTGTCCTTATACATCACACACATACATCATTGTATAATATTATGATAAAATATTGTTTAGTGCTGACAATATACCACATTCATATTGAGGGTAACTCTCCAAATACTCTGGAAAACGGCCATTTTAAGTGTTTCATCCGCCCGTTAAACGGTGTCATATTGTACCTCCAAATATTTTTGAAACTACAGCATGCTATGCTGTATCATTTTATGGAAAAAGCATTTAGCGTTTAAGAACAACGTGCTGTTCTCTTTCAACAGTACAAATGATTATGTCATTAACAGGATATACTCAAGCAACGTGTGCTGCACGAATAAAATAATTTCTACATGTAGGCATATACTGTAAATAAGCAGATATTTACAGTGGAAAAACTAAATGATTCTTATTTTCTCTCCTTGCCTTGAGTGTTTTCTTTACTGATTGCCATTGCTGATCTGTCATTAGAAACATACAAGCCTCAAGCCCCCGCTCACAGGAGACAATATCTACTAACCGGCTATTTTGGGGAGAAAGTGAAGAAGGTACACACAGCAGGAAGTAACGTTAGACCTTCAACCTGGAATCTGAATTTACCAGAAGGAACATATAGACATGTTTATGTTAAATGATGTTTGAATGCAAGTGCTGTACATAGTTTCTATAAATCCAAGTGCTTCGTCAAAATGATTTGATGTGCAATCCTTACAAGTTAATTAAAATTCTATTTATATTCCATTTCTAAAACGATACAGGATCTTTCTAACCTTTATATCTGAGTATGTTCAGTAATAAATGTTCAGTTTATATATAAAATAGTTACTGTGAGTTGCACTTCCCTGCCATGCGTGCATAAATGCCAGGAGGTACTCTACAAGCAATGATTATCATTAGCACCCTTTTTATGCCTTAAACCATAACTGATCAGGCCCAATAAGAAAAAGTGTTAGTATTCAACAGTCATTATGTTCTACAAAAATAGCAACATTCATTTTCCCTTGTTGTTTTTAAAAACTACACGTATATATAATATATATATTTAAAAAAATATATCACACCGATCCTATCCGAGTGCAAACACTGCCAGATTTCATAATCGTCGCACGTCTGACAGACTACTGATTTGAATCAAAACGGATTGACATTTCTACCAAAAAACGGCACGAAAACAACTTTTCTTTGATGTTGGTGAAACGAAAGACCATCCAGTGTAAATCCTTGCCTTCCCAACAGCGACCTCATGCTGGTTGTTTTTTTTCTGGAGTGTTGCTTCACACCAGCAGCGATTGGATATTGATTCTGAATGACTTGCTTCGATACAAATCAACCCTTGTACTTATTATTAATTTCATCGTACGACTAAACATGACACACACAGTTTGGAGGGGCCGATGCAGTCATCGTGGCAAAAGGCTCCACATCCTTTGCACATGATCATGGCCTTCAGTCTGCAGTAGCACTTAGACTGCACGTCCTCCATGTTGGAGCCCTCGATGAACGACTGCTCCGAGGAGGGCTCCCCCTGGTGGCCGGCAGGTATGGTGGTGACGGTCACGGAGAAAGACATGACGCCGCCTCCGTCAGCCTCTGAGGAGACGGTGGAGGAGCCGATGCCGGTGTGAGGTACAGACACGCTGATAGTGCCGCCGTAGCACGACGCTTCCTGATTATCGAGCGTCCGCTGGGTTTGAAACTGCCGCTGGTGACTGGGGTCCACTTGGGAAAGATATGGCTCAGAGTTTCCTTGGTTACTATTGCAGAGTTCTAGGTTCCTTCGGTGTGATAGAGAAAAAGGGCTGGTGTCTTTGGCGGCTGCACTGGGGTCTGATCCCGCCTCAGTCTTTACATCAGAGCAGTGCTGAACGCTCGCTGCTTCGTCAGACTTGGTGATAGAGAATCTGTGCTGCTCTGTTTTAACTCCAGAAGCCGGAAAGAAACACTTCCAGGCTGGTTCTTCTCCTTTAGCCGCCTCCTCTCCATCTGTGCTCTCCCTTTTTAAACCGGACACAGACGTGTTAGGGATGACAGACTGCTGCAGTCTCCTGCCTTCTGGTCCTCGGCCGTAAGTGGACACATTGAGCAGGTAGTGTCCCATCATGGCAGGCCTCGGCATCTTCCTACGACCCAGAAACCCTACAGAAATCCTGGATTGGTCCTGACGCTCCTCTGCGTGCACCAGCTGATGGACTCTGTACTGAGGATACTGAGGCCCTATGCCAACATAAGGCTGGCTGGCCGGAGCCTTCCTCTGCATCAGAGCCTGCAGGATCTGCTCCTGAGTCTCCTTATCAGGAAGCTCCCCAAGTCTCGTGTACTCTGAGAAAACTCCTGTTCGTCCTGTTGCACTGAACGGCTGGGACATCAGTTTGTCAGCCCTGTGCTCTGCAGAGTGTAGCGGCTTCCCCTTACTGCCCGAGGGTACGCTTGGCGTCTTCACCTCAGACTTGCAGAGCGGTTTTGGGAGGATCTGCTCCAGGGGAACGTCTTTGCCCTGCAGGAGCTGAGTGACCAGCGGGTTGTTTGCAGGGATACAGGAGTTGTTCTTGGTTGAAGATGCAGCAGGTGACGGGGTTTCCTGTGATGGTGTAGTGGGATTTATCTGATCACTCCCGGGTCCTGCACTGACAGAACTGGCAGGATGGCCTTTGAGTTTTTCATCAGTGTTGCTTACAGAGGATGATGGAGAACGGTTTGGGCTTAGCAGAGTAAAAGAGTCAAGTGGGTGAGAGGGAGGTGTACTGGTCTGACTGGGGGCTGGTATGCAGGTTGGAGCCTGAGGGGAAGTTGGGGAGGGGCTGGGTGACGGCTGTGTTCGATCCTCACTGCCCCCCCCCGGACCCGGGCCTGGCACCTCCCCCCTGGATGCTGACGATACTGCGGCCGCCGCTGCTCGCTGCACTCGGGCGAGCCGAGCTTTGGCTTTGATGTCTGCCAGAGTGCGGGCACCGGTCCGGCCCGGGCTGCTGAGCGGGGTCGGGAGGGGGGTCCTGGGGGGGTCCTGGCTAGGGGGCGAAGGAACCGGGAGAATCCGTAACACTGATATCTGTGAGTGAAAAAGAAAAGGAGATTTTTAAATAAGCATATATAGATATATAGAAATGATAAAAAATCTACATTGCATAGCTAAGTTAACTTACTCATGTGTCTCTACATCACTTCTTACAACGCAAAAATATTTTTTTGTGGAAGCTTATACAACGTGTCGAGCATAAAGATTGACGGCAGAGAAATGAGAAGCCTTTGAAACATTCCTTAAGGACATTTTGATGATTCTTGACATCTTTTTGCCATGACTGTCTTAGAAATGAATCTAAGCTGACTTCAGTTGTCAACCACTGTAAAACTGTCAGAGCCGTCTTTCAAGCCTACAAGTGGTGAGGTTTTTAGTTTGACTCAAAAAGACACAGACGAAACGAAGCTCCACAAACAGTTTTCCTACCTTGAGTGGTGGAACCCTCTGACTCGGGGTCAGTGTAGCAGGGCTGGAGATGGATGAAGCTGGTGGAGACACAGAGGAGACTGAAGACACTGAGGAGACTGAGGACATGCGGGGTCTTTTCTCCGGCGTCAATTCCTCCACAATCTCACTGAGAGATTTCCTTTTCTGCGGCTCTGAGGGGCCCCTGGGCTCAGAGATGACCGCTTGGATCTCCTCAGCAGGCTTAACCACAGACGCCGGCTGATCCTCCTTCAACTCTGAACTTTGTGGTGGATGGCTTTCGTCCACAGGCGACTGCGGGAGCTCAGTTTTAACCTCCTCCACTTCCTCTTCATGCTTCTTTTCAGGCAGAGAACCTCCCGCAGCCGGTTCAGCCGGCTTCTCAACCTGCCTCTCAACCTCTGGTGTTTTCACTGCAGGTGTTGGAGCCGACTGTGCTGCTGCGTTTAACCGACAATCCTCAGCGTACTGAGAGCGCCGTGTCTTCATGGGCTCTGAGGTGGAGACTTTCTCTCTCTGAGCAGGCTGCAGCTTTACAGGCTCTTTAGTTGGCTTCACGTCCCTCACAGCAGCAGCAGCAGCAGCAGCATCAGTCCGGCTGCTGTCCTTGGTGCCCTTGGGATCCTCCGTTGCTCGAGTGGCAGGTTCTGCTTTCTGATGGCGGGGGGGCTTTGGCCTGGCAGACTCCTGATTCACATCAGCCTTTGTCAGCTGTTTGGATTCCTCAAGGCTGAGCCCAGAGCTACACAGAGGGAGAGAAGAGGGAGGGAGAAAGGAAGAACAAGTCATACATCCTGAAATCAAATGTCTTCTTTGCTCAAAGGGATTCAGACATTTTATAAAACAAAAAAAGGTTTTATGTTGAAAGTGACGGGACAATTTAGTTATTATAATGTTTTTTTATAGATCTCAGAAGAAAAACATTACAGCTTAATTCATGTTTGCTTCTTTTTTTTTTTTAAACTACCGTAATTTTCGGACTATAAGCCGCGCCTTTTTTCCCATTTTTCGACGCTGCGGTTTATATAACGGTGGGGCTAATCTATGGATTTTTACAGCTAACGGCCAACACCTTTAACTCTATGGGCTCTATGGCCGGTCCGCGGACCCCCACCTTTAAGCGGCGGGTTCCAGCAGGAAAAGATGGAGGCCGGAAAAGAGTGAGACAGGTAGCGCGCAAAAGTAAAAGTGGAACCGAGAGTGGTATGCCGCTGCTGCGGCTTATATTCAGGTGCGCCTTATAGTCCGAAAATTACGGTACAATGGTCCAGTATGTCCCTTCTTTTAGGGATTTTGTTATACTCAAACTATACTGAAAAGCAGGGTTTTTCTAGAAAAGATTAGAGTATGAGGGCCCAACCACTGTGGCGCTGATCTTGTTATATAAGGATATATAATTCCTCGCCGAGAAACATGCGCGCCTATAGCAAGATGGCGCCGCAGACGTAAAAACAACAACGTACGTCGGTCTCGTGGGATATATCCTGACATTAGTTTGCCCTGACTTGATATGTTTTGATTGAGTCTCCCAAGAAAGGAGAGAAGTCAGTATTTTCCGTAAGATATTCCTCAAAGCATCTGAAGAACCCGTGAAATGATAAATGTATCAAGCATTTCGTATACTTAATGAGATCTTAAAGTCATGAAAATGTATGGTAGGGATGTATTAAAAGCCTGAAAACACGTGTAGCATGCATCGCAGTATTATTTAAAGGCCTAAATGAGAAGAGCATAGAATTGTTGTCTTTAAAACATAGAAGTCGATCAATCTAGTGCCCCCTCTTTTTAAATGTTGTTTGGCAGCGTAACAACAAGGGTGGAACCACGGCCGCTATACTTTGAAAACAGCTCCCTCGTGCGTGGTTGTATAGTATACACGTTTTATGGCGTCTAAGGTGCCAGTAAATCTAAATTCTCCCTACCCTGTCGATGAGCGCTCCGCGACCGTGTCGCATCGTCAGTGAATTCTCCAGCCCGGGGGTAACGGCCCGGGCCACTCCTCCACCCTTCAACATCGGCCACAGCTGTACACAATGGACGCCCATCTGTGCTTTACTGCACGACACACAGCACACACACACACACACACACACACACACACACACACAACACACACGACACACGACACACACACACACGACACGACGGCACACACCACCAACAGACGCACACCACACGTCGGCACAGACGCGCGACACACACACACCGACACACACACACACACACGACACACACACACACACACACACACAAGCGGGAGCGGACGAGCAACACGACACAAAGCGAAGAAAGCAGACACAGCACAACACACCCGCACGACCCGTGACCCACACACACACACACACATCGACCACCCAACACAACACACACACCAGCACACCAACACACCACTAAACCAGACCGCGTCACCCACACACACACACACCGTTATTAGAGCGGTGGAGCGCGCATGTGCACAAACTGTTTTCACCACAGGGCAGCGCCCGAAGCATACAGAAAAAGCAGTGGACAAAGGGCCTTGGGGGGGGGGGGGCCGGACTCGCTAGATGTGGGGACGGATTGTGTATTGGCGGTCGGGCGGAGGTGAGGGGGGTGTGAGGAGGTTGTGGGCCGGAATTCGAAATCAATCAATGTAGGTCATTATGCTGTTGAATATGATTTAAGAAACATCCCAGCTCACCCAGAGGGTTTCAATTATCCTGTTGTGCGGCGTGTGTTCGACTGGAGAACCAGGAGGAGGCCGCTGCAGGTTGTCGTGGGTGGGGGATACATGAGAGGGGGACGGAATATGAAGGTCGTATTTTAAGGGGTGTGGGGGTGTTGGAGAATCAACATCTAAGATGAGAGGGGGTTGTTTAGAACGATGCTTTCTCAGCTCTAATTGAATTATGTATTTTGAAACAATGTGTCAATGATGACTTTAGGCTGCACGATATAATTTAACAAGACAATATAAGACAAGGCCCACGAGTTTCAGGTGGCCCATTGATTTCCTTATACTTTTGAGAATTTGCTGCAGGCGCCGATTAAAATGGACAATCGGGCGCGCATTTGGCCGCCCCCGGGCGTGGTTTGGACACCGCGGGTCTGATTAGAGCAGAGAGAGAGTGAGCGAGTGACGAGTGCAGATGTCTTTGAGTTTCTGGGATTAGGCCCCAGCTGGAAGCGTTCAGAGTTTCACTTGTTTGTTGTCACAGAGCCTCAGACACCACACATCAATGCATTCGACGGCCCAGCAGGGGCGGCTGCCACCTACTGTGCTGAGCAATGGTTAAGTCAAAGGGCTAAACAGAACAATGTTAGGCCCAACTGACAGTGATGCACAAGTCCATACACAACATACATTAATTTTCAACATGAATGGCTAGAAAAACAGAACTGTTGATTTGGGCTTGTCAGTCGACTTGCAAAGAATTATGCAAAAGCTGCAAGAAGAATGTCCTGAAAAAGAATGAAACTAAAGAAATCTTAATTGCCCAACTGTTTCATCACGTCCACTATTGTTAGTTGTTTTAATCGAGGACATTTAAAAAACAGTCCACAAAGAATTATGCACAAATGTTCAAACTCATTTTACTAAGCAGATATCTCTCAGTAGACCAGAGTCGTTGTCGATAGATGTTGACCTAGAGTTTTGAGTAGATGGATTACGATCGCAGATCTGTTGTAAAACTTACAGTTTACAGGAGTTATTTCCCTGTGTTTCATTTTTTGTATGAGAGAAGCCGTCGCGGAGTGCGGTGCCGGTGCTTTAATTCAGCCGTGTACAGATGCCATCTTATGAAATAAAATCCGTCATCATAGTAGACAGTATCTTAACATTATCAAACCTCAGCGTTGATAAATACTTCTACCCATTGGCCTGCTGAGGCGACCCTGTATGTCGGGGATTTTCCAGCCAGTAAGAGGTTCAGGGTAAGACAGTCTAAAGCTCAAAACCGAAAACAAAGTGTACAGCAGGCGGCGACAGTACGACCTCGCCTACCAGAGC